CAAGAAGACCGGAGACGAGAGAGGCCGCAGGTGGATGGCTCGGACGGATCCTCACCTTGGTGTTCCACCACACCCCCTGGCCCACACAACAAATAACCAGGATTTCAACCAACACAACAGATATTTGGAGGCTGGCACGGCCGAAGCCGCACCTGGGCGTGCCGCCAACGCCTGGCTCGGATCCCACACTGTGATGGGAGTGCCATAAAGGCCACATTAAAAAGGAGCCATTGCAGCCTGACTCTCAGACCGCCTCCGGTCAAGGAGGAGGTCCAAGATACCCCATCAGTTGGCAACCTTCCAAGCCACGGCTTTTAGCGCACCGTGATAGCTTCAAGCGCGTCAGATTGTTTATAGTGAGGAGAAAGTGCGCTGAGTCGTCGACCTCACTCTCCCTTCCCACTCCCACACCCCAGCCGCTGTCCGAGCCGGCCAGCAGATTGGAGTGGGGAATGGGCACGTTGGCTGTCATGGTCGACTGACCATGACTGCGCGCGCCACGGCACGACCTGGCCCCCCATACACACAACACCAGGATTTCACACAACAGGGGTTGAACGGCGTGTCTCTCACTTGCGTGGGTGCCGTGGAAGGTGCTGTTTCAGCCCGTTCCCAGCCTACCAGTCTGCCACTCCACACAACACACACACACACAACGGAACGAACTGCGTGAACCGAGAGCGGGCGTCAATCAGCAACCTTCCTATCTACGACGCTTGACGTGTCGGGATAGTCTCGGACTCAAGTCACCCGTGCAGCCGAAGCCGCATGGGGACCGAGTCGAGATGCGGACTTCCCACTTGCGTGGGAGGTGGCAGTTGGGTGCATGAGGTGCGTGAGTGTTGATTTCTGGTGGGGTGATGGTGGTGGTGGAGGAGGTAGGGAGTGAGTGAATGTGTGGTGTGGCCGGCGGTTGTCTACCGCAGGTCGTCGTGGATGCGCATGTGGCCGAATAGGCCCATGCGATGCCTAGCATGAGCTAGTGTAAGCGGGTAATCAGATTACCAGCACCACACTTCCAGTGATGCGCGTTTCCACTCTGTGCGTATTTTGGCCCTTAGTTCTTCCTCTACAGGAACAGACAAGACGCACGGACGTCGGAGCTTTCATTAAACTTGGTTAGGCGGACGCACCGCCACCACGTTGTAAGGAAATACCCCAATTGCTAATGAACGTTAAGTGAACTGAAACCGTTGATGATATCTCAAGTGGGGAAACTCGATAAATAAACGTATACTGAGTGACTAGAAAGCAGAGGCCTGGTGAAACTTCGCGCACGACTTCTTGTTGCAGCAAGAAAGTCAACAAAATATTCTCTCCACGGAGATACTTTGGACCAAGGAATGTACAAAACCACTATAATCCATACTTAGACTGACACCACGGGGCCCTGTGCACGCAGCTGGCAGTTAAGTTGCCCGCCAGAGCCAACACCTTCCTGAATAGGCGTCCCACACCTTCGTGAGTTTGCAGATTATCTTCTATAAGAGCTCACCCTGGTCTCCGCCTAATGTGGGAAGCCCGCTGGAATTTAAGTCGTAGGGAACTCTATCATCATGCTTGACCAAAAAACAACTGGATGACGCAAGACGGTTCAGTCTATCCTCACTATTACGTATAACAGCAATGACAAAATGTGAAAAACGGCTCCAACTCAACCCCTGCAAAGGAGTGCACATGGTCAAATGATGCGGCAGTGTTGAATGCGATTAAAGATAAGAGCCGAGTGGTACAGAATGCCACGGCAGTGAACGATGTAATGAAACACTGGACAAAGTGATGTTACTGGTAGCCAGAATAGTATTGACTGGCTGACTGGGTAGGACCAGGTTGTCCGGAAGCGCCGGACCCCCGTAACCGTAATTAGAGTAGGGATAGTTATAATCTCGGTAAGACTGTGGATTTGTCGACGGAGGCACCGCGGTCGACGAGGAACCCGCTCCTACAGCGGCAGAGGCAGATGGGGCAGCTCCAGTTGGTGCTCCAGCAGTGGATGGGGCCTGATTGTACTGCCACGCATTGAACTGCTGTGCAGCGTAGAAACTTGCATCGTAACCCGCGGCCGCCGCTGCTGCACTTGCTTCTGGAGCCCCGATACCGACATTGGATGCAGCTCCGGTTGCGCCATATGAACCGTAGTATGAATTATAGGCTGAGGAGGCATTTGCCTGGCTAGAATCACTCGGTGTCGACTGTTTTGCCGACCCCCCATAGCTGATGCATACAGAGACGGTGCCGTGGTTGGTACAGGGCCACTTGCACTGGATGGCTGCTGAGATCCGCTCGTATAGCCTGTGTATGACCCATAGGCGCTGCTGGTATTACCGTAGGACCCGTAGGAACCGCTGTAACCAGAGTAGTCTGATTTTTGGCTCTGTTGACCGTAGCCGTAATTGTAAGACTGTTGTGACTGACCCCAGACTGACTGATCCCAGATTAAATATCTGGAGTGGCGACTTTGAGCAGATGAATAATGGACTTTGTCTTATATACTGGGAATCCACACTTTTCGGCACAATCGATGGTGGTTGGGATCAATCCATGAAGATAATCTACATTCTCCCCACCGTTAATTGCCGATTATACGAAAAAAACTAGTGAAAAGCCCTTGCTAGCAGACATGAAAATTGGAGAAGAACGTCAAAAAGAAGGAGAAAACTGTGGAGTCACCCTTTGATAGGGCACCGAACCACTAAACGCATACGAGCTACAGAAAACCCGGATCAAATGTCTTATCCCAGCGATCGGTGGGTCTTCGAAAGGGATATGTTAAACCATATCGTGATTTATCTGAAGGCCCTTGGCAATTATATAAGCCAGGGTATGCGGAGTAAGGTTCCGCTTCCACTGTTGCGAACTGCTGAGGGTGAGTAAAACTTGGAGGTCATGGATAAGACTGAGTATTTTTTTGAGTTCGTCCGGTCAGTCTTTACAAGGGGCCCGACTTTTCCATACACTAACGACAACGAAGAAACGACTTCCATTGAAATAGTCCTCTTTACATAAGAAATCATAAGGGCGGTGTTGCTGAGGTTGAAAAAATTGAGTTCCCCAATGTTTGATGAAATCCTGGCTGTTGCAGGAACTAGTTTCTGACTCGACCAAACCGCTAGTCTTGTTCTCTCGGACGCTATTTGCAGGAATATTGTAAGGCAGTTATTGACAACTAAACTGCCTGCTCCGGACAGCGCATCCTCAAAAAACCTGAATTAACTCGCAAACAAGCTGGTTTCCTGCTCTCCAAGATCTTCTTGACTGTGACATAGGCTGGGCTCCTTACTACAGACTAGAAGCTAGTCAATATACAACCAAGATACGAAAAGATATGTTACAGTTGCAAAATAATTCGATTCATTTGTAAAAATGCTGTAATGAGTAATACCTGAACTTCAACTTCAAAAAATGCCAGGTTGTCCAACTGCGATCTAACAAAAGGAGGCGATGAGACTTGAATATCAGTAATTCACCGAAGGTCACAAACTTGAATCGGCTAACAAGCTAAGGGATGTCGCTGTGCGGATTCTGCCATTCGCAAATAATTCTCTAACTGCACAAGATATCAAGGAAAGTTTTGGGCATTTTAGGTGCCAACAGGTGATCCTTCCTCAATCTTGACTAGGACCTTTTCAGTCCACTCTTTGGAAAGTTTGTGCGGCTGCATCTATAATACACTACATAAGCATAGGGATCTTGGTCAGTCAAGCACTGTGCCGGTTTAAGTAGGCTCCATAGACGAGCTAGGAAAGTGGCTAATCGCCAATGGTCTATGAGAACCAACGGTCGACCCTCAACCTCTTTTCTCTTCACTACATGCCTCTAAGAGGGGACTTCACACAAAAATCTGCATTATTCATGACCTGTACTATTGCCTTCCCCTCAACAACTTTGAGGCCCGAGATAACATGCCAGGCTTATGTGCTAATACCATAAAACTTCGAACAGTGAAAGTTCGAATTGATGGACAAAAGTCTTCCTTCAGTAACAGAGTACTTCCGATGCGGAAAGCTTTGCAGGCGACGTTGTCCTCTCCTCACTCGTAATTTCATTTAAGTGCAGACTTTATACGCATAAGGCTTCTCTCTTATCAGCCGCACGCACCCTCAAGCACGAAAGGGGTGTTATTGAAATTACATATGATTATACAGCTTGCACCAATTAATCATGAGTTGGTGTCTATATTTTTAAGTCTTGCGAACAGGTATTTGATATTCGCATGCAATTATATTAACAATATTCTTTTCACCGTTTTTCATGTATCGGCTATTTTCTTTGGCATTTGTGTATCATATAGGAGTTCAAGGGCGTTCGTCAGCCTTTCTCCCAATAAAACGGAACTGGACTGTTAAGGCGTCAGCTTCCGCTTGGTAAATTAAGTAGAGTATTTTCGAGTTCGTGAACGCCTGTGGTCGACTGTTTGTATTCATGTCTCGGCCATCCATAGCCGTGATCACATCATTGCTAGCCTAGCGCAGGCGTCAGAGACGTAAGACTTATGCCTGCTAGGGCTGCTATGACTGCTATTAAAGATTAGCTCAACACCGCCGAATGTTTTTGCAATAATAATCTTCGAATAAGTTAGATGACCAAGTAATGCGGCCTTTCTCGCAATAAGCAAAAACTAAAAGAAATTAACTGAAGCTTCCCAGAGAGTGCATGATTTGAGCACTTTAATCAAAACTTGCTGAAAATTCAACGGAACCGGTGACAAAATTTGTCCACAAAGAATGAATGATTTTGCATTTAAAGTGGGGAAAGCAGTGAAAGACCTCTAAATATCGGAGGAAGCATGGGCAAAAACTTTGAATTGTCTGTTTTATGGTGCGATTGTTTAAAAAAATGTTTTGACCAATGGCATTCCGAGTAGAGTGGCCTACTTGCCTCGGGTTCGCGGTGGATTACCGTCTCACTTTATCCACAGTGCCAGCGCAGTTTGCGCTGTTTTACCCTTCAAGACCACTTTTCTGAGACTTCCTACACAAGAACAACAGGCGAAGACAGTAATGGATGCTTCTGACGACATGGAAGATATGTTTGTCACACCGGATGTCAGGGCTCGCAGGAGACGCCTTCACACAGAGGCGGAGCAGCGGAGGAGAGACGCTATTAAAGTAAACTCAACTTTTTGTGACGTCATCGATTGCTAGAGGGGCTTCGATAACCTTTTGGAGCTTATTCATCCCGTCAAAGCAGATCCTGGAAGCTCATTAATACGGATGAGCAAAGCAACTATCTTGAACAGATGTAGGTGACTTCTGCCGTTCTCACAATCCTTAAAGCTATCTCACTGATATTAAGACTAGCAAAGCAAAAATCACAAAAGCGGATGGAGATAGAAACTCTGCAGAACAAAGTCAAGGCTTTGCAAATTTTAAATTCGTAATTACAATTTTGGTGTGAATTTGCTAGGAACTACGAGCGAATTGCGCTGGCTAATTCATATGCTTTTGACTCTTCAAACTCTGTTGTTACGGAACCCACAAAGATCCAACTTTTCCAACTCTTCATGGAGAGTTTATTTCAGTCGTTTGATTCTGCAGTTTCCGGATCCGAGATGGATCAACTTTCCAGGCAAATTATTACTTGGATGGAGATCAATTGCAAACCAGAGGTAATTCCTTCGTTATTACCAACACTTACCCGGTGGTCACATGCTCGTCTCTAATACCTTTAGCTTATAATGCGATGTTTAGTGGCTTCTTAGTTCGTCTTTAAGTCAACCCGTTGTTTGGCGGTTCTCGCCGTAACTCGTCTTCTCATTTAGTTAGTAATCACCAAGATGCCGTCACAAGGCCGCCCTACTATTTCGCGCCACCTCGCGCTTTCCTGTCAAATGTGTGTGGATGGTTTGCGAGTAGCGTACACTGGACACAACTAGGCAACTTATAGGCCAAAGATTTGTTGGGTCCCAACTTAGCTCTGCCTCAATATTACTGCAAATATTTTAAGCATTAGTCATGTGAGGTCGTGTTAAAGGCTGTGAGTAAACTGCGTAAGGTTATAGTTGATCCGTGTGCACTGGCTTGCCCATTAGGCTGACATACCGCCACCTGGCGCGTCCACGGGTTACCAGCGAGGTGACCGCTTTCACCGAAGGTTGTCTGTAAAATAAATAGGCTCGGGGGGAGGCTGTTGCCGAATAGGCAGGATAAGAACGAAACTGTCTCCAAAATCGCTGCTCCTAGGATTTTCACAACCCTTGGACGACACTATCTCTATGACCACAAAGATCCGCGTATACACGGAATCCATCCTACCAGACTTTCTATACTTTAGTGAATTCTGGACTGTATGTGTAGAATACAAACGAAAACAAGGGCTGCTTGACCACCGCTTTTCGAGAACCATCCCACGAGCGATGTGCACTGACTTCATCTCAGGTGAGACAGTCCATACTCGTCGCGACGAAATCTCGGAGACGCCTCAGGCTATCCAAGAAGGACAACACGTCCTTCCTCGTCTGCTCATGAGTTCTGTGTTGTAGCTCGATCCGGCGCCTATGCCCACCTGAGGCGCCGAAGAGAATGCCAACTTAACTTGGCCCGACAGAGTTCACTAAAACATAGAAGTAGTTCTTGTACCTTCTGTATTCAGTCTCTAATGGAGAGAATTGCCTTATCTCTCTAGATCCGCCGCTGAATTCAGTTCCGCGTGAGAGGTGCAACCTGCTATATCATCGAGACGAGCTAGATCAGACACGATCATAGCTCTACCAAGTTTAGGTAGATATGGTTGCACTGTTCCCCTCACTATGACGCGCCAAGTTGTAGTCACTAACTCCAAAGAGCACATGCAAGTGGATTTTATTCGGAAGTCACGTTGGATTGGCACCGAGCTTGGCTTTACGCTATTTGTGTATGTGATTTCGCCTTTCGTTCTGACGGGCCGCAACCATTTTGACCTGGTTTTCCGCTACTTGTCACCGTGGTAGATTGTTGAGTTAGAAGCCGTTATTATCCCCATCATTACTCTGCTACCGGTCATGCGTTCCCGTCGAGGTCAACTTGTGATGGACGCGCGATGCTTTTGAATTTTTTTAAACACACCGAAAATAACTCCTCCGTTACCAGTCGGCTGGTCAGTCGGCTACTTACATTGGAGTTTGACAACCGTACGACGAAATTGTGAAGGAGCTCGCCACTTCATCGCAATTCTGCTCAGGCAACTCAAATTATAGAAGGTTATCTTTCGACTGTTGCAAAATTTGGGAATCAGACACGTTAAATAGGATTAGTTGTGCGCAGGTACTGCGAACCCAGCTTGTGGCCATCAAAATAAATCAAGGTGGTTTAGGCTGTGCGAATAATTACTTTTTTTCATCGACTTCATCGCACCAAGTATTTTGCCTATTCCCATTCCTGCAGTGGACCCTTGCGAGTCCTACCCACTTTGCGCTCTAACGACAAAGACCGAATAGTGGAGTTTCAAGAATTACAGCCGGCTTGACGTCTCGCATCTAGTTTAATTCTGGGCTGGCCTCTCGCCGCGTCCTGTGGGGCAGCCAAAAGCATTCAACCAATTGAACGGACTACTGGGAACGTGTTTAAATTGCCTCAATAATTTTGGGTGGTTTGGGCTTTCCCGCCGATCGAATACGGGCTGTCTTTTCCGAATTAACATGCTCACTTCGCTCGGAGGGTCACTCCCAGTGGTTATCTACAATTATCAGTTGTGACTGATTTTCACGCACGCAGACCCCGATTCTTTTGCGTGAAAACCGACCTGAAGATTTATCTAATGCGCGTGCTTGTTGCGGTTAATATTTTATGATGAACCACTAGAAAGACCTACAAGGAAAGTACAAGAGCACGACGTTGCTCTTTGTTCATTTCATAAAAACGTTGCCTCAGAATTCTTTGAACTACATCTTAACATAGGCAGGCATTAACTGCATGTGAACTACCACTCGCTCGACAACGCATTTCGAAAGTACACCAACTTTTGCAACTTTAACGCACAAACCGACCGACTTTGCAACCATGTTCGCCCTACGCTACATTCCGTGGGTGGTCATGACTTGACGCCAGTAGACAATATCGGCAGCGTAGCCGATGTCGCTCAACCGGCGTCTTGACGCATATTCGATACGTTCAAACCTGCCTGTGGCATTTCTGAGAACACCGTCGAAAGTACAGTTAAGTAGGATGGCCGAAGGGAAACAGCATTGTCGGATATCTGACCAAAAACTGTGCACACGAACTTCTGCGGCGATGGAGCCCTTGGACACAGAAACAATCTGTGCTGACCTCGCTTATCCATTGTTCTTCGCAGAGACACGCCACGACTATAGTCGTAGGGCACAGCAAAGCTAGCATTGGAAACATTCGTAGGTCGCTGTTATTAACAATTGGAATCGAGGGCGCAAATGAGGGGTCAGGACTTCTACTCTTGCAACCCGGTTAAGTTAAGTTAGTTGGTTCAGGTCAGTTCTGCAACGCGCAGTTGGCGGTGTCGATGATACCTCATTTGTTTTCTTTGTCTTTTTGAGGGTAGGCAGAAGGAGGTCTATACCTTAGTGATTAGTTGCGATTTCATTTGATCATGCTTGTTCAGGCAACTCGCACATTGTATTCAGATTCCAATACAGACTGTTGCTGTGCTGCCTCTGTATAACATTGGTACTTCCTCTCTGAAATCAAAGGTAGCACAACACTGGATTTGTGTCTCGAGCTTTTTTAGCGCGTAGCCTGCTAATTAAGATTCCGAAAATTTCGAACTCCCTCATTAAGCGCCTGCGCCACTTTAGAACTTGAAAGAACCACAGGCATAGGCGACTGTCAAAAGAAGAGGGGGCGTTCACCGGGAGGGGTTTATTTGAGATCCGACGTTTCGGGTAGTTTATTCGTCTACTGGTAGGCTGTGTATGCTCTTAACTTCACCCGTCCTCAGCCATCCTTTAACCAAACCCACACAGCGAAGACACAGTCGGTTAGAGAAGACACCTGATGCTCTTGGGCCGGAATGCCGGCCTATTTGAAAAAGGCCCTAGGCATCAGTCACGCCCTAAATCTGGTAACTTGCTCTACAAGTCAGTGATTGATTATCTGCGATTCAGCTTTCAGTCTCGTTGCTGTCAGTTTGGCACTGAGCGGGTGCCGCATTAAAGACCTTGACCGCTTTTGTCAATGAATGTCTTTGCACCTACTGAATTAAATCCCTTCCCTAAGGAGTACTGTCTCAACCACGCGATTAATGAGGCAACCGCCTTGGTAGGAGATGACATCTTTAGTATTTAGGCGACAGCGACCTCGCAGCAAAAGACCACTACTGTCTGAAATGTCTGCTAGCCTATCTGCGCACTAAGTAGTGTGTGCACGAGTAGCTGACAGTGTTCCTATGACACCCATAATCGTTGGTAACTGTGCTCATGAAAACCCGCAGAAAATCGATCGTGGGTTATACAGGGCGCATAATGTTGCAAACGGACCACTTAGAAGAGTCAAACAAAGCGAGACAGTATCAAGACACAAACCATTTTCCGCCATTGCGATCTTGAGGCCAAGTTGCGGACAATTTAAGCACCTAAGGGGGCAGTTTCAAATCCCATACCGAGTAATGTCAAACTGCACCAGGAAACATGCCCCATAATACTAGTCAGGAGCGACGAAATGATCGACGCAATGATATCCACCGAAAACCAAATGGTGCGAGCAAATGGTAAATAAGCCAAAACGGGAATCATGTTAGCAGGTGAAATCCGGTCGGTGATTGTCTGACGTACTTAAAGTTGCTTGCCTAACACATGAGACATTGACTGACGTGTTGATGTATGGTATCGCTTATAATGGATTGCTTAAATGGGGTTACAATGCTCACCTGCACGCACCTTCAAAGCATCGCATATACATTCTATTGATGGTCTTCAGATGTTCGTCTTTCCGGACACAGGAAAGATACACTCGCCAAAAAATGGTTGCTTAAGCCGTATTAATGTTTTTCAGTGGTATTCAATGCTTCAATAAATCCAAACATCTTTCCTACAATAGATCGGATCGAGTACTACCTGGCATTACGACCCCACCCGAGTGATCGTTCCAAACGAAAACTATATTTTGGAGTTTCAGTCGACTCGAAGTACGCTCCACTGTAAAGCCTACTTGTGTCTTCTCTTGTCTGGTTTGCACGGGGAAAGTGCGTAATAACAGTTGTTAGATATGACTATGAAACTTCTTTGATCCGATCCTCTCACCGTTTTCGGCAACGGAACCAGGTAGACCTGGCTACGTTGCACCTTTAACCGTTACATAGTTGGTCGTTTTTGGCCATGCAACTTTATGCGACACTTTTGGCTTGCCGAGCAGCCCCAAGCAAAAACGCCAATTAGAAACCTTCCAGCACTGCTTCAAACATTCGGTAACATATTTCTCCAGCAATCAGTTTGCA